CCTCTCTCTCTCTCTCTCTCTCTCTCTCTCTCTCTCTCTCTTTCTCTCTCTCTCACATACACCTTAACCCTTTTTTTGTTTTAGCTTGGAAAATATAGTTTATTTAAAAAGTAAATTAGAAGCCAGGTGCAGTGGCTTACACCTGTAATCCCAGCATTTTGGGAGGCCAAGGCAAGAGGATTTCCTGAGCTCGGGCATTCAAGACAAGCCCTCAACTACAATAAATCAAAAAATTAGAGGGGTATGGTGGTGCATGCCTGTGCAGGTCAAGCCCAGCAGGTCAAGGCTGTGGTGGCTGTGAGCATGTCACTGCACTCTAGCATGGGTGATGTCACTCTGACAAAAAAAAAAAAAGAGAGAGAAAGAAAGAAAGAAAATTAGAGAGAGAGAGAGAGGAGAGTGGAGAATGATCTCTCCAAAGTATGGGAGGGGGCCAAAGCTTAGGAAAACAAGGCCTGACCATAGCTCAAAGAACATATAACCAGACCATAGCTTACTTAGCAAGGCAATGGCAAGTGAAGAGAGAGAGGAAGAGAGGGAGACAGGAAGAGAGGGAGAGAGGAGGCAGAGAGAGGGAGAGAGGGGGCAGGGAGAGAGAGGGAGAGAGAGGGGGAGAGAGAGAGAGAGAGAGAGAGAGAGATATCACCCTCTGCTGCTAACTAACCCTGAGGCAAGACATTCAAAGATGGGGAAGTGAGGGCAATTCGGCAAATGTCAACAAGCAAACTGGGAGGACGACTTGCACTTTGGGAGCAAGGCGCTCTGGCAGCCGGGGCTGTCATCCTTCCTAGGTTTTAAGAAGCAGGGCCCTGGGGGGGCTCGAGCTGCCTTTAGGAGGATTCTTCGCCATCACCCCATCAGGGGTCGCCCATCTGGGTCCGCCAGGGATCGCACCCGTCTCCGCGTTGGGCACGGCTGGCTGGTTTTCACAAGCTCAACGCTGCGGTCCCTCTTGGGAAGCGACAGTTGCACAACTGTTATTGTCACTGTGCGGCGTGTTAACAAGGGACGGGGACTGATGTGAGGGGGAGCTTCCAATCGGAAAGGGATTTTTTTTTTTTTAACTCACCCCACGATTGCAGTCTTCCTGCCAGGCCAGGCGGGACCAATTTCGGGGCCGTCTCCTCGTATGCCCTCGCAACCTCCAGGGCCGGGGCAGCCGAGGACGCGCCGGGGACACCGACCTCGCGGC